AAATATGAGGTGACTTACAAGGTGAGGAATAAATAAGTCTATCCACTTCATTCTCAGAGTGTGAATTTAAATACATTCGGTACAACAAAAGCACAATATCATTACACTGCACCTTTCCTCATTTGCAAAGGCAAGATTAATTCATTTCTATTTTCTATTATGCACCTGTGATTATATGAAGACACTTTCAAAAAGCCTGATGTATTTCAATTCGGTAACGCAGCATGCAACAGATTTTGAGAAGAGTCCAACTAAATATTGTTATGTATCTTACTTATTTTCACACAATAAGTTCAACTGACCACTAAATCAATAACATTTACTAAGTGTAGCATTTACTTTCAGTGCAGTCATACAATTGGTGTAATGATCAGGATAAATGGATGCAAATTTGTGACTACAGTCTCTGTCTTTGTACACTGCCCTGTGATTAGTTACGGTTTTCTTGTAGTCAGTCAGACTACAAGGAAGAGTGGTCCTTCTTTGAAAAAAGATCATGAGAAGTTAGTCATACCAAAAACATTGTACAATGGGCAACATTGGGAAAATATTCTAATCGTGCTCAGACAGCAAGGAGAAAAACCTGAATATAACTTCACTTTGAAATGTCTATGATACTGGGCATCCACTGAGTGGGATATGACTTGTACATATTCATTCCTGAGTCAAATTCCTGGAATTCCCTACCTAACACCAGGTTTTGGTGAAATTTCACACAATGTTTATCTTCCAAGAAACTGTACTTATGGTTATCTTTTTGGGTTGAGTACAGCAGGTAGATTACATGACAGGACCAATTAAACATGATATGCATTACAAATGGCATTTTTTGGACAAATCATTGGCAGCCAGTTCCCACTGTACATTAGCTAATGTGTAAACTAAATGCAACAAAAAGGAAAAGAATTCTATTTTGTTAAAGAAAGTGGGAAGTTAGTCATGCAGGGTACCAGGGTAGGTGGTAAATTAATAGCTGGAAATTAGAACAAACAGAACAGAACAAACTACAAATACACAGGGGGCCAGACTGTGGAGAAAACAATACTTAACAGCATTTTCTGTTTACGTTTCAAAGACACAAGTGAAGCCAGTTTTCTGTAAAGAGAGCCTGACTGTCAGAGTGCTGAGCTGCACTGTGCCTCCATATCTCCCCAATATTCTTCAGTAGTACAACTATCCAACTAGCGCGAACTCATCAAATTCTTGCCTCTTGATTATCCTGGATTTTAATTGCTCTGCAGTTGGTGACCATATTTCCAGCTGTTAAGGCCCTGAGCTTTGGAATTCTCTCCTTACAGTCTCCACTTTGCTTTCTCTCTTTATTCCTTCAAATGCTACTTAATGACCAAACATTTATCATCAGCTGTAATATCTTCTTCTTTGCCTCAGTGTCAAATTTTGCTATTTGTGGTTCTTATGACAAGCCTCGGGGACTTCTTCAAGTATTCTTTTACATGGGATATGAGCATCAGCGCACAACTATCATTTATTGCTTATCACTTTTCGTTCAACTCCTGTATCCCTGGACATGAGTACACATGACAATAAAATCTATTCTAATTCGAATTCCTTGAGAACATGGAGCCAAAATGAGTAAGAATTACATTTTTTATAAGGTGAATAGTGAAATAGATAATTTATTGTTCACTTTCATCTAATATTCATTTACCAGTTTCATTGAAATATTGTGGTGAGTACCAGATACCAAACATGAGGAAGGTTACCTAAACCCTAGAGAGGGTGTAGAGGATATTTCTTTGACTGATAGCAGTGATGGAAGATTTCAGTCACACGGCCACTAGAGAAATTGATGTTATTTTCCTTAGACCTGAGAAGATTAAGGAAAGATTTGATAAAGGTGTTAAAAATCAGGAAGCGCTTTGATGAGCATGAGATAGAAAACATATATTTCTGATGTAGAGGATTGTTAACCAAAGGACATAGGTAGAAATTGTCAACAGAATCAGAGGTAATATGGGTTTAAAAAAAGTTGAGTTAATCTGGAATGCATTTAAAAAGAGTTGGAATCAAATTCAATAACAACTTTGCAAAAGTAATTGCTAAATATTTGAAGGGTATGTTTGCAAGGGGTTTTTGTGATGCAGTGTTAGTGTTTCTGCCTCTGAATCAAAAGCTCTAGGTTTGAATCTCACTCCAGAATTTGATGGCCATGGAATGCATGTGCATAATGTGGACCAATTAACAGAAGGTTAATCGGTTCATCCTTTCAAATCACCTATGATAAGTTTTAAGAATGGGTGAATTTCCTTGTCAGCCATGATTGATGTGGAATGGCCTATCTCAAGCTATTGCCTTTGGTGACCTGTTTCTGGAAAAAGAGGAGCTATGTACTCTGTTTATCACTAGATGTAGAAAGCTTCTCAGTCTAAAAGTTTGCACAACTTCAGAGAAAGAGTAGAGGCATGGTACTAATTGGATAGTTCTTTCTAGGAGGCAGCACAGGCATGATGAGCTAAGTAGCTTTCGTCAGTGCTGTATGTTATGATTTAATTGTTTGTCAGCAGCAAAGGTTTGAAAGTGTTGTCCAAGCTTTATTGGCTAATTAACTATCAGGGAAATGGTATGTGTTGTTTAAACCACGTTGATATGCTGGGATTAGCCATCGAGTTTGCAAAAGGATTTTTTTAAAAAAGCTTCTGTCTCAACTGCATTGAACAGCAATTTAATTGGACCTGGAAGCCTATGGAGCTCATTTGTTTCACCGTAACCATGAATCCTCGGTTTAAAAGGGAAATTCCAGATTTGAAGTATTTAACTGATAACTCTTCTCATATCCGTGCATTTTTATCATTTATCTAACATGGAGTGCACCATAAACAATACAGATGAACATTGTTGAGCATTCTTTCTTTAATCTGTGATTTGTCTATGTTTCAGGGCCCTATAACAAAGCATTAAAAGTGCAGGCCTCATAAACTTGCACCTCACAACATTTGTCACTGTGGATCCAAGGTAGTAAAACTAGAATGAACAAAGTTGAAGATGTGACATTCTGTCCCATATTACAGTTTTCTTGGTGCCTTAGTATAGGACAGCAAATTACAGGTTTTCTTCCATCTGTCCTGATACAACTCCCATCTGAAGAAGGTAGCTGCTGACAATGACTGTCACCTAACATGAATTATCCCGGTCTCCGCACACTTTATTTCTAGGCACTGGTAGTTTACCCTATGTCAATCACTTCTTTGAACTTTTCAAACCAAATAATATAGGACAGGAACTCAAGATGCCAAGGTGGTCATCTCCCTCTCTGTCACTCAGCTTTTTGATTTATAGGTAGTTCTATAACATGATAGTTGTGTTCTTATGTGACCTTGCACTATAGAAAATCATATTATAGGGAAATTGCTATAGAAAATTGCTGTGACTGTACAGCAGAAAGTTTGCGTTTTTCAAACAGTGTCCACTATTCATCAATCACGTTACAGCCAATTTGTGTTGACAAAACACACGTTATAGCAGAACTACCTGTATTTTGTGCTGAGGGCATTTTCCTGACCCTTTCTAAACACTTGCATGGTTTTGGAACTATGCCAGAAAGCTCCCTTATATCACTTTAGAAATGTGAAAACCTCAAAATCAGGAGCATGATTTCTGTGACTTTTAACTCTACATTGTCTTGGTTCCTGACTACATAGAATTATTTATACTCTTCCAGAGAGAGAAGAAAATCACGTGTGCCAACTAATTCATCAATGAGTTTTATACTGCACTGAAAAATGCTGTTTATTAAATGCTGTTATTTTTTACAACAGGATGTGTGTGATGCAAAAGTCAGCCCATTATGCAAAAATAAATGTGAGAGGAGATTGCACCCATAAACATTATGATTAATAAATTGCAGGAATTACATTAACCTACTATACTAGATTGTTCCTTTTGGATTTTGCAATACCTTAAACAATAAAGTTAATTTATTGCAACTTCCACCAACATAGGACATCACAGGAGGTACAAGAATGATTCAACAATTTCAAGCTATGAACCAGAATTAATGTTTCAAAACAGCAATAAGGGTGGCCAAAAGAGAAGGTCCTAGCAACTAAGGCTATTGATTTTTGACAGTGGTAAAAATATGGTTGAGCTGACCCAATAACATATATAAAAATATAAAATTATAAGAAATAGGAGCAGTAGTCGCGCACTTAGGATTTTGAGCCCTCTCATCTGCTTCAGTTACAGTTTCCCACATACCCTCATGTCTGTTGATTCTCTTGGTAGTTGAGGGTCTATAGTTTTCTGACTTGCATACCTGTTGCAGGCAAGAAGGGAACAACTTGTCATTGAGTGCAGCTTGACACAAAGTGTGAGCTTGGGAATTTGGTGAATGAGGAAATTCAGTACAGTGAGGGAGGAGATGCTATTTACATAAGTAGCTGCCTTTATAAAGAGTCTTCATAAAAGAGCTTGAGAGGGGAGGCCCAGGAGACTTTACAAAAGAACCAGTTCTGAGCTTGATTCTAGAGGAAACTGGCTGGGTTCTGAGGAAAAAAAGTGTGACACTACAGGAAAGTACTTTCAGTATTTTCATAACTGTAAGGTTTTATTGGTGGTAAGCTTTATGAATAGTAAAACTTTATAGATTTGTAGATGAGCATTTCCTATTCTTCATCGGAAATTTAAATCAGAGCTAAGCAGAACTATTACTGAAATAAGATGATAAGGAATTATGAGAGATATTAATTAAAATTTGATGAGTAACTTTAGTTAGTTAAATCGTATAAGATGACAGAATAGTTAATATGTGGAGCCTGCAGAATGTGAGTCCTCATGTGCAACTATGTAATCCAAGGCAGTTGCATCTGCAGTGTACTTGTCTGAGGCTGAGGGATCATCAAATCAGAGTTATTGAACTGAAGACTGAGCTGCAGACACTGCTTCACATCAGAAGGAACAAAACTGCCTGGGCACTTGCTTTCCAGGAGGCAGTCATAGCCCTTGGTATATGATCAGAAACAGAAGAGTGTGACTGTGAGTGGGGCAAGTAAGGCGATTGAGCAAATAGAAGTGGAGGCACTTCAGCCCTTGCAATTGTTCATCAGGTTTGAGAATCCTGCAGATTGTACTGATAAAAGGAGGGACTGCAGGGTAAATGAGAAAATTGACTATGACATTGGGGTATAGGATATCATTTAGGCTTTGGAAGGGAGGTTAATAAGAATGTAGTAACAGTGGGGACAATGTAGTCAGGGTGATAGACATGGTGCTCCACAGCCGAGAGCACAAATCCAAATTGCTGTGCAGCCCACTCAGTGCCAGAGTTCTCGGCACCTGCGCTGAACTGGAAAGGAAATTACAGTGGGAGTGGAGAGAATCCAGTTAGTGTGGTCCATGTGGTACTAACAATATAGATTCAACGAGGAAAGAGGTTCTGCTTAGTGACAGTGAGCAGCTAGTACTAAATTGAAAAGCAGATCCAAACAAGTAATGGTCTCAGGATTAAGTGTGAAATTAGAGTCTAACACGAGCAAATTGGTAGACGGTTAAATATGTGGCTGCAAGTTTGGTTTAGGAGATAACAAGGTGTAGAGCTGGATGACCACAGCAGGCCAGGCAGCATCAGAGGAGCAGGAAAGCTGACTTTTTGGGTCTGCACCCTTCTTCAGAAATGAAGGAGGGGAAGGGGATTCTGAAATAAATAGAGAGAGGGGGAAGTGATGATAGAAAGTGGATAGAGGAGCAAATAGGTGGAGAGAAGACGGACAGGTCAAGGAGGTGGAGATGAAGCCAGTAAAGGTGAGTGTAGATAGGGAGTTGGGATGGGGGTTGGCCAGTGAGGAGGGAGGGGCGGGTAGGTGGGACGGAAGACGGATAGGTCAAGGAGGCGGGGATGAGAGGGGCTGGTCTTGGGATGAGGTCGGGGGTGGGGAGATTATGAAGCCTGTAAAGTTCACATTGAAACCAATGGGCTGCAGGATTCCCAGGCGGAATATGAGGTGCTGTTCCTCCAGCCTTCGGGTGGCATCGTTGTGGCACTGGTGGAGGCCCAGGATGGACATGTCGGTTTAGGAGAAATGTGTTCTGACTCCACTGTAAACATAGCTTCAAAGAGTAGAATTTCAACCACCATGGGGAGGCATAAAGCTCTGAAAAGCAGCTTCAGTTAGCAATGCAATATGATCCCACACACTTACAGGTGTACAGGTGATTGAGAAATGCCCCTAGCATTTACTGATTAGATTTTGCCAACTGAATTGCATATGGCTACTGAACCACAAACCTATTTAAACATTCAGCACAACTAAATGAAGCAGGGAAACAGCCTGCACCCTTACTTTTTGGTAACGATGAAAACTTGACAATTCCCTGACTGCACAACACATTCACAAGGTGACAGTACCTTGGAATGGACAGTAAGAGATTCCAAACATTTGGCAAAGAGAGTTTAAATCTGTTCACCTGTTAATCTATTTCAAAATATGAGTGCTGAAGCAGCAGGCTCATAACTCCAAAGCTGACAATTTCAGAGGGTCTGCCAGGATTGCATCCAGCAGTGGTCCCAATACCAACCACCAATGAAATTTGCAGAGGCAGTGGGAGAGAATCTCACTTGCATAGGGTTAGCCGGTAGAAATGCCAATTGGATCCATCTACTCCATGAGCTTGGAAACTGACATGGCCGTCTACCATGACCCATCCCATGCGGTCCTGTTCTGTTTGATTGGCAAGTTGAGTGTGCAATCCTGTTCTACACTGAGTCCAGCTGACCTGTCATTTGTATCCTCATGTCTTCTTTGAATCTACAGTTCTCAAGGATAAGTTAAAAATTCTCATTTTCATTTTTAAACGTCTAAATTTGCTTCACTTAATCCAAACTCTGCAATCACCTCCACTCTCATGAAGTAACCAAGAAGACTGGTGAGGGCAGAGTGGGTTGACTTTGTCTAGGTGGACTTTAGTAAAGCCTTTGACAAGGTTCCACGTGGTAGGCTAATTAGTGAAGTTAGATCGCATGGGATTCCAGGAGAGTTTGCCAATTAGAAACAAAATTAGCTTGATGGTAGGAGACAGAGGGTGGTGTTGGAGGGTCATTTTTTAGACTGAAGGCTGTGACCACCGGTCTTCTGCAGGGATCCGTTTGTCAGTTATATAAACAATATGGATGAGAATTTCCTAGGCACGGTTACTTTGCAGATGACACCAAAATTGGTGGTGTAGTGGACATTGAATCTAAGATTACAAAGAGATCTTAATCAATTGAGTCAATGGGCTGAGGAGAGGCAGATGGAGTTTAATTTAGATAAATGTGAGGTCTTGCATTCTGGTGAAATAAACAAGGGCAGGACTTATATAATTAATGGGCTCTGGGTAGTGTTGTAGTGGTTAGCACTGCTGCCTCACAGCACCAGGGACTCGGGTTTGATTCCAGCCTCGGGCAACTGTCTATGTGGAGTTTGCACATTCTCCCTGTGTCTGCATGGGTTTCCTCCGGGTGCTCAGGTTTCCTCCCATAGTCCAAAGATGTGCAGGGTAGGTGGAGTGGCCATGCTAAATTGCCTATAGTGCCCAGGGAAGTTTAGGTTAGGTGTGTTAAAAATGGGAAATGCAGGGTTAGGGGAATGGGTCTGGGTGGGATGCTCTGCGGAGGGGCAGTGTGGACCTGTTGGGCCAAATGGCCTGCTTCCACACTGTAGGGATTCTATGCTTCTATGTTTCTAGCAGAGAGACCTAGGGGTTCAGGTAAATATTTCTTTGAAACTTGCATCACATGTAGACAGGGTGGTTAAGAAGGCATTTAGCATGCCTGCCTTCATTGCTCAGACCTTTAAGTATAGGAGTTGGGACATTGTGTTGAGGTTGTACAGGACATTGGTGAGGCCTTTTCTGGAATACTGCATACATTTCTGCTCCCCCTGCTATAGGAAGGATATTATTAAATTGAAGTGGGTTTAGAAAAGATTTACTAGGAGGTTGC